ATGAGAAGAAGGGGATGAGAACTAGAAGAACGATCCACATCTCTTGAAGTCCCTTTCTTCATGATTTATTCCACTCTTTGTATGTCTTTCCTTCTCCCCTACATGGGGTGATCTCCCAAGGTACTAGGGGTTTAAATGACTAAACCCTAGTTCCAGGGTTTCTATGTAATGAATAGATATTTTAGTATTATAATGAATGAATGTGTTAATCTAGTTAATTTCATTGATTCTCTAGCTTTGATTGTGTTTGGATAAGTCGCCATAATCTTCTCTACTAGCCTACTTGAGCTTCTACACTGGGTATGGAGTTATAGGGTTAGACGGGTATGCGCCATCAAGCAAATTGAGGTTAGATGTATGAATAGGATCCTATGGTGGACGAGGCGACCGTAACCCTGCCATAGGAAGGCCTTCCTAGATAGAACCCGGGATAAAACCTCGGTGTGGACGGTGGGTAGTACCCATTGAAAAGAGTTATGTGCTTAATGCCCCAGATGTGATAGCCTAGATCGAGGTGTCTAACATGGGTTTAGGGGAGGCGTATTCGGAGGCATGTGGATAGTCACGAAAGCCCACGGAAAAGAGCTCACTCACCACATTCGACAAACCCTATTTATTTAGACATTGCATAGTAGACATAGGCTAGGGTAAGGGAATACCCCGAGTACCTCTTCTTATCTATTAATCTTTAGTCTAGGAATCGTCAACTGCCTACCTGCCAACAACAGGTTGACTAGATAACGATCGAGCCTAAGTAGTTTAGGATACCGTGACCCTTGAATATGACCGAGCCGCTTTACTACATCCCTAGCTAGATTATACTTGGCCTTGTTAGGATTGACTAGTGAGTGCGCTTCGACTTATAAATTTAAAGCTTGCACCCATCAATTTCCACTTCCTCCAATCATCAATTCCATAAGGAGGGCATTCAAAAAGAAAATAATTAAAACACTCCCAGGCTTCCCCAAGGTTCTCTTGCTTTCCTTGCTTGAATGCATATATGATGGCCCTCATCTTAGCAGTCTTGGAAGGGGTGTGTAACACCTATTAAGAAACTTGTTGCCAAGCTCTTCCCATGAAGTTATAGAATGATGAGGTTGGCTAACAAACCGTCTTTTCTCATCGCCCTCAAGTGAGAATGGGAAAATTCGGAGACAAATTGCTTCCCTAATTGTTTCATCCTCATTGATCCCATCAACGAGAGCAAGGAAGTTCTCTAGATGACGATGATGTATGTCTCCCTTAGCCCCCAGAAATTGAAAGTTGGTCTTGATCATAGAAATCATGCTCCGATTAATTTCATAACCTTGAAGATAAGGATACCGGATAGCAACTGCAAATCTTTGGCCCCCGGACATGAGACGTTGAGGTTGTAGTATAGTGTTAAACACCCGTGACGTACAAAGTGGGATAGCAAAAACAAAAACAAGATAAACTACTATATATATAAGGGTAATGTTTATTTTTTTATCCAAACCTTTTTCAGATTCTTTTATATTATCCAAACCTATTAAAATGCTATTAATTAGCCAAATCTTTCGTAATGCATCAAAATATTAGTCATTTTTATGTTATCGTTAATAATTTTGTAAATATTTTCTTAGTTAAAATAATAAAATATTGGAATGTTGACATTCATGTGTCTCTTCCAAGTTAGTATCACGTTGCCAAGTCAATATTACTAACAAAATTGCTAACGGAAAGTAAACATTTGACTAATTCTTAATATTTCGATAGGTTTTTGGATAATATAAAAGAATCTGAAAAAGGTTTGGATAAAAATAGACAATACCCTATATATAAACAGAAAAGTAAGACTAAACTAACAACTCTATTATTTTGAGCTACTCATTGGCGGAAATCATTGTATCCCCTTAAATAGGTGTTACATTTGGTGCAAAATTTTCAACTTATGACAATGGTGTGACCCATGTGCGGGTTATTGAATCGACGGCACAACTTGTATTAACTAACCCATCTTGAGCCAAGTATAAGTCAAGATGGCATTGTTAATAACTTAATATAGTGGCTGACCAAGGTGGTATTCCAAGGGTTTCTATACTCTAAGGCAACTTCTCACTTTGTTGTTATCTAGTCATTCGGTTTAGGGTTATTTTAGAGGTCAAATGGAAAGTACTGGTGAAGAAAGCAAAGATAAAAGTAGGTACATAAGGGTATCGCCCTTACCCTAAATTTAGGTCTATCCTGCAAATAGATCATAATGTCGGGTTTGAGAAAATAAGGTGTGGGACTCGATAAAGTGGGGACTAGCCCAATAGTCATGCAACTAGCCCCCCTGCTAGAGCGATTCCTTGACCCAATGTCACCTCGATCACGTTCATGATAGATAATGTTTAGCTAGTGATTTTTAGATGACCATGCATACTAACTCATCAATGAGATACTTCTATGCATCATCTATTATGATGCCCTATCCCTTCCTCTAAGGCCACTCTCTACCTGTGTATGCGCCTCTTATGGTAGAGATTTGACTAGCTAATGCTTGTTTTTGTTTCATGTCATCACTTAATCAATAAAGAACAAGAAAGTTAGGATAACAGATTATTAAGTGGGCCTATATGAGCCATAATCAATGATCTATAGCATCAACAACCTAAGAATCCAGCATTGATAATGCATGGATGGTTAATTACTCCTCTCATACATGCCTACATCAATGGGGTATCACAAGATGGCATTCTTGACAACCTAGATAACACTAAGCACGATGATATAGTGGCATACAATATGAGTCACACGCATAGAAAAACTAAAGCAATCAATAACTTTCGCATCAAATGAATGAGAAATAGATGATACAATCATAAATAAACTCAAACATCGATGATAAAGACATTGAACACAATAGCCATCATCCTTTAATCATTGAAAGTAATACATAAAGCAACATAGAATTCACATCCTTAAACATATCAACTAGCTACACATAGAAACATCAATGGTGGATGTTTCTCAATCAAATTTTAGCAGAAATTCTCCTCCTCTCTATGGATTTCTACTCATGCGATCAAGCACCCTAGGGCAAAGTGTCGGTAAAAGGAGCCTAGCCTCTTATTTATACCGGTTACATAAAATGGGGGGGGGGGGGGTTGTAATCCTTTTCCTCCTAAAAAGTCTACCAAATCCTTCATTATATGACTTGACTCAGTTTCCTTAAACTTGTGGACGAAGTAGGTTCTTTAGAAAGTTCTTGGGGAGCTTGCATCCAAGCGGTGGTTTTGCGTTTGGACCCACCACTATGATTTCTTTTCCAAATCTTCCCATTTTTGGTGGGCAACTTCCTCCGGGGCTCATGGTCCTGCTTCTAAAATTTCAACTCGTTTAAACTTCATTTGACCCATATGCTCTTCAAAATACCATCATCTCCTCCATAACTTGAGCTTCTGGTGTCATAACTAACTAGGTTTGAATTCATGAGCTTGTCTTCTCAACCTCCTTTTGATCCATTGGGTGTCTTAGTGATTCATATTCGTCGTGAGTGCATTATATCCATTGGGTGTCTTGGTGATCCATTGGGTCCCCCATCACTACGGACCTCCCGTTGCTGCTGGTTCGTAGTCGATCTAGTAAAACGTACTAGATAATATCCATTAGTGGCCGGTGCAACTTGGATACTTCTCGCCTTCGCCCATATGACATTCAACCTATTGGAGGTTCCAGTGTACGAGACCGATTTCCATAGAACTTTCACGCGACGAGCAGATTTCCTTCAATACAAACGTTAAAATTTAAAATATGAAAGAAAAAATTAAAAAACTGGCAAACGAAAAAATATGTCAACAACATAACTGAATTCCTCTATACTCTAAATAAGGGAAATTTTCTAGAAATATCACAAAAATATAAAAAATTTCCAACAATACCACCCATTCCCAAAAATACCAAAAATATCACTCTTTTACATAACTCGTTCGGTGGGGGAGCGATTTTTGAGAATGGTGGCTGAAAATCGCATCGGGTCGGAATGGTCTGATAAACCGCATGGGCTAACGACAGTTTACATTCAAACCGCACGCACCCCTACGGTTCGTATTTAATTTTGTGTTCACGAGGTAAAGAACAATAAAGCTAGATAGCCTAGTGGATGGAAGTTTGTTATATTTTTGTTCAAATCATGGGTTCGAACCTTAGTATATGCAATTGTTTTTATTTTTAATTTCCCTTCCAATTTTATTATATGCGAATTTTTTTTTAAAAAATTCAAGATCTTGCAAGCCTAATGCATCCGCTAAGGTTTGGATCCATAATCTTGCAAAAATAAAAAAATTAAATACAAACCGCAGGTGCATGCGGTTTGCATGTAACCGTCGCTGGCCCCCATGGTTTATCAGACCATTCCGACAGGATGCGGTTTCAGCCGTCATTCTCAAAAACCGCTAGGTGGCGGTTTATGAAAAATATTTGTATTTTTTAAATTTTTAGAAATATGTGGTATTTTTAGAATTTTTTTATATTTTTTATGATAGTTCTGAAAATTTTTCCTAAATAAACACCTAGAGCCTACCGGCCCAGGAACATTAGCATACTTGAAAGTACACTTTCTGGACAAAGAGTCCAACAATTTGGCCCAAAATTATTCTTCCAACCCCTTTGTATAAAAGTAGTTGACTTGTTGTTGATTTTTGTTGTTAGTTGATCATGAATAACAATTAGTTATAATGCCTGCTCACCTGTAGTTTGTTTTCTCCTTCGTAATAGATAATAATCAAGTTAATTACGTATATATCTCTGTTATAACGAATGAAAAACCATAGTATTAGCGAGAGTGACACTGTGACAGTAAACATATCCCCTTTAATTACTTTGTAAAAAAACTAAAGAAAAGCTAAAACGTAACATATTAAACCGTCCAAAAAAAGATTATTATTATCTTATTACAGACGCAAAATTGCATGATTGAATACAATAAACCAATAATTGTAACGTGAGTGGGTCCCACAAGGTATCAAAAATTAGGTTAAAGCTGTCTTCTTCTTCTTCTTCCTCCTCTTATCTCTTGCAACTTTTTCCCCCTTTCCAGTACAACCACTGCCCCTCCGCCGCCACCGCCCTCGCCGCCCATACCCCACTAAACAACTTTCTTCCTCCCCCTTTCACATCGCCCGAGGTCGGATCCCGCCGTCGTTCCGTAACCGAATCGCATGTGTCTTCGGCATTCGGGACTCATTTCTCGCGGCGGTGTTTGAGCTTTGTCGTCGTCGTCGATGGCCGGCCGCGAGCTTGATTCGTCGGATTGCGGGAAATTGAGCATGGAGGAGAAGAGGGAGCTCGTTTACCAGCTCTGGGATCAGCCAGACGCAGCGGAGCTGCTCCAGGCGTGGAGCCGGCATGACATTCTCCAGATCCTGTGCTCGGAGATGGGGAAAGAGAGGAAATACACGGGCCTTACCAAGTTGAAGATCATCGAACAGCTGTTGAAGATCGTCTCCGACAAGAAATCGTCCTTCAGCGCCGGTTACGACAAGCCGGGGTCGTCGTCTCCGGCGGAGCAGAAAAGCTCCAACAAGCGGCAAAGGAAGATGGATGTACCACCGTCTCGACTGCTCCCCGTCACTCCAACCAGCGGCGGCGGAGACGCCCCCAACCAGGCGAACACGGTCTACTGCAAGAACTCTGCCTGTAAAGCCACGATGAAACAGGGCGATACGTTCTGCAAGCGGTGCTCGTGCTGCATATGCCACAAGTACGATGACAACAAGGACCCGAGCTTGTGGATGATTTGCAGCACCGATCCGCCTTTCCAAGGCCCTGCTTGCGGCATGTCTTGCCATCTTGACTGTGCGCTGAAACACGAGAGCGCGGGGATTGGAGGGAAAGATGAGGAAGGAGGAGGACGGCGCGGGAAACTTGATGGTAGCTTTCGTTGCGCGGGCTGTGGGAAAATTAACGATTTGCTCGTGTAAGTAGTTTCCACATCATTCGTCTCTCGATTTTGCTTTCACACTTGGCTTCTGTCTTCTGCTGTGCTGTGAAAAGACGTAGGTAATTACCGATTTAGTTACCCAGTGACGGGTTACCTTAGTAAGGTTGATCATATTGTTTAGTTACATATAGCTGTTGAATGAAGATTTGGATGAATGAACTGTTAATTGTGCAGTTTCTTAGAACCCTCATAGTTCTAGTTCAGGTGAACCCGAATTGAACTAATTGCTTGGACAATTGAGATGTGCTTGTTGTTGCTCTTGGGTCCAGAAAAGTTGGCTTTCTGATGCTTTAACTTGGATGGTTGTGCTGGTCTATATCTATTTGGCTCGGGATCAATTGCATAGTAGTTTTTAGGAATCTTTCAAATAACTTACATTGCATTGTTTGGTATCTTATATGCATGTAATCAGGTTCCTGAGAAAGCAACTGATTGTAGCAAAGGAAACCAGGCGAGTGGACATCCTTTGCTACCGACTTTCTGTAAGCCAGAAACTTCTGAATGGGACGGTCAAGTATCAAGAGCTACTTGAGATCGTCGATGAAGCCATCAAGCAGCTTGAAAGTGAAGTTGGTCCCATTACCGGTCTGCCTGTCAAGATGGGCAGAGGCATCGTCAACAGACTCTCTGTTGGTTCATCCGTGCAGAAGCAATGTGCTTCTGTTCTCGAGTTGCTGGACAACTTCCTCACAAGCTTCGTCTCTCCTCCTTTACAGGACCCTGCAGCCCAAGGTAATTAACTAGAATGGAAGGTCCCATATCCATTTTGACACCTTCCCTAATCTTTAAGCAGGCATAGTAATTTTCCTACCCGAAATGGGTTCTAACTTCTATGTTCTTCTGAACTTCTTATGCATTTGCAGCTGCAGCTGCAGGTTCAAGTTCAATGTCTTCTCCAATCACAGTCCAATTTGAAGATGCAACCTCAACATCAATCACTCTTGTTTTGAGCTCTGAATATTCTCCTACAGAACCCATTGTAGGTTATACACTGTGGCACCGCAAAGCCTTGGCGGCAAATTACCCGGCGGAACCGACCTGCAGACTTTCCGTTCCAAACACAACGTATATCCTCGCTGATCTTGACCCGGCTACGGAATACTGGTTCAAAGTCACTTCCTTCAACAACAGGGAAGAACACCTCGGTACATCAGAGGTTCATTTCTCAACATGTGGCGCTGAAGATGAAGAAGCAGAGGAGATCTCTCCATCAGGAGGGGAAAGAAGCCAGAGCCCTGTAGTCACCAATTGTAGCAGCCTTTCCGATCCATCATCTGACCTCGGGAAGCTGGATGCGGATCATTCAACCGAGGAGTGTCAAATAGACGACACCGCTGTCGCTACTGATACGGATGTTGCTAGCTTGCCGATCACTCCTTGCAAGCTGGAAATGGCCAAGGACATTGCGGGAAGAAAAAATCCAAGATCCAAAGATGCAGCTGACGAGTCCCAAGATGGGACCCACTTCCCCTTCCAGCTGGACGAGCGGTCGAACGGGAACCCGGAGAAGGAGTTTGAGTTCTGCGTGAAGGTGATAAGATGGTTAGAGTGCGAAGGGCACATCGAAAAGAACTTCCGCCAGAAGTTCCTGACCTGGTACAGCTTGAGAGCGAGTGCCGAAGAGATGAGGGTTGTGAAGGCGTTTGTGGACACATTGATCGAAGACCCATCGGCTCTTGCGGAGCAGCTAGTTGATACGTTTTCGGAGTGCGTTTCTAGCAAGAGATTGTCTGTTGTGCCGGCTGGGTTTTGCATGAAGCTTTGGCATTGACGATCGTGGACAAAAGTCAAACAATTCACAGTCTGTTCATCAGTAGGTCGAAAGCTTTGGACTTGGGATTATTTTTCGTTTGCTTTATATCTGTTTCGTTGTGATTGCTTTGGTTCGGTACCCTTTTTTTGATTGTATGGCAACTCACCATTGAGTTGTGATTTGTATTGGAGATGCAGTAAATTTCTCCTTCTCATGATGTAAGGATGATAGGAAGCATATGGTTGTATGTATATAATCAAAGTAATTCAGTAAATGCCAAAACTTCATGCAAAACCCACTCAATTTGTGCAGATTTGAGGTCTTGGTGTTTTTTTATCCTTCATATTTAGGTTTGTTTCGTGTCAATTAATGTGCATAATCGTTAGAATAGCGTCAATTGGATCTCTATTATGTTCCAATTTGACTGATGTAATTTTAGAGTACTTTAGACAATACATGTGAATTTGGTACGAAAGGGTCACAACTCACAAGTGTAGCAAACTGGGCAGGAAGCTGATGATCACGGCCTAGAGACGGAGATCACGGCCGAGAAAGCAGATTGCGAAATCAAGGTGAAGATCGTGGCCTGAGAGCACAAGATCGCGGCCGCGAATCTGGAGGCTTCGGGCGCAAACTTCGTGAAGAAGTCAGCCGAGGAGAAACATAAAGTTTCCCCAGTCTGATCACGACCACAATTCACCTTGACCACAAGGAAGTTTGCGGCACGACTCAAGGATCGCGACCGTGAAGTCAGCCCGCGAACTCTCCGTGTTTGAAGGCCAAAACGACGACGCCTGCAGATCGCAGTCTCAAGGAAGAAGATCACGATCGCGATTTTCCCTCTGCCTGGCCGTGAACTTGTCCGTCCCCTGAAGGCTATAAATAGAAGACCCCTTCTCCCATTTGAAGAGAGCTGATATGGAGATAGAAATTTCTGATTAGATAGAGAGAGAAAAGAGAGAAGCTCAAGAAGGAGAAGAGGAGAAGGTAGAAGAGAGGAGTCATCTTCCTCGACATCAAGTCTTCCTCAATTTTTGCTATGTATCTTTTCCCCTCCTTTATCGAGTAGCCTTCTAGGGTACTAGGGGTTCTAAACCCCAAACACTAGTTGTAGGGCTATTATGTAATGTATGACTATTTTAGGGTTTTGAATGAATGTGTTTGTCTAGTTGATGTTAATTCTTCTCTAGCTTTGATTGTATTTGGGTAAGTCGCCCTAATCTTCTCTACTAGCCTACTTTAGCATCTACGTTGGGCATGGAGTTTTAGGGTTAGATTGGTATGCGTCATCAAGCAAATTAGGGTTAGATGAATGCCCCTGCTATAAGAATGCATTCCTAGATAGAAGCCGGGATGAAACCTCGGTGTGGACGGTGGGTAGTACCCATTGAAATGAGTTATGTTCTTAATGCCCAAGACACGATAGCCTAGATCGAGGTGACTGACATGGGTTTAGGGGAGGCGTGTGGATAACCACGAAAGCACACGAAAAAGAGCTCACTCACCACATTCTCTAAACCCAACTTATTTAGACATTGCATAGTAGACCTAGGCTAGGGTGATGGATAGTTCCCCAAAGTACCTGCTTTTATCCGTATTTGTTCTCTCTACTAGTTATTTCACTTGAATCTTCCATCGCAACCCCTTAAACCGGTCGATTTTGTTTCTTCTCTTCTTCCAATTTGGAGATGGGTTCTTTTTGTTGCCACTGATACTTATGACTCTACTTCCCCATGCACTACTACTTCCTTTTTTTCTCTCCAACTTGCTAGATTCTCATTCTATTTAGAGATCAAACAAAAGAACTCATCGTGACATTGGATGGAATTTTGCCTTTTGTGTTGTGAGTCACCAAATTCAGGTTACTCGGGATTTCCAAACCAAACCGGGTTATATATCACAGTCTTGGCATATTCGCTTTGAAAAGAGCACTTTTGATACCTTTGTTTGCGCAAGCTACTAGAGCATCGCGAGGATCTAGCATCTCCACAAACTTGGGTCATATTTGTTAGCATATTGGTGTCCGTGAGTGAGTACTATGTTGCCCATTTGATCATGAAACACCCATCCTACAACACTGTGAGATCCTTGCTTGGTTGCACCTTTGAAATAGCAGACAAACTAGTAGTCTGTTTAAGTGCGAGCAAGGCAATGAAGCCGCATTGCCTGAAGAAGCTGTTGGACTTGTTTGGAGAATATCTTCATCCACCTCCTTCACATGATAGTGCCATTGCTCCACCAAAATTCACGATTGTAATTTATAAGTCTCAAAATGAACAATGCAATGGTTTTATCAGATACATCAAAGGAGGGACAAAAAATGAAAAAATGAAAAAAATAATGCCTTGAGGAAGGATGAACAGACAATAAATATCGCACAAAGAGAGGAAGATAAGCACAATTAAATTTGGGAAAATAATGTTGCAAGCCAACCAATTGCCAAAAATGTCTGGCTAAAGGACATTAGAAGAACATATGTTCAAGAGACTCCCCTTCTATGTGACATACCAAACATAGATAAGGAATATCAAGACCACACCTCACCCAACCTCGCATTGTGGGGACAATATGGTGCATGATATTCCATAAGAAGAATTTCGCCTTTGGCTATAAGTTTAAATTCAAAAAATGTTTCCATAAAGCATGATCAATTGCACTTACTTCGGCCACAAGTCAGAAACATAAGAGAGGTAGAGGTGAGGAAGCATTATCGTGTTCTCACAAAGTAGGCCGATTTGACTGAGGAAATTCCCAAGTCCTCATAATGCCATATTAATGAGTCAGAAACATAAGAGAGGTAGAGGTAAGGAAGTAATAGCTCTTGCAGTTTCTACTTTCTAGAGTGAAGTTAGCTGCTAAGACTATCTCCAATCCATAAAGCCAAATTTAGATTCCCAGATAAGACTTTTTAGCTTTCCAAACCCCATTTTCACTCAACCCTACAAAAAGCAAAATTTAGCTTCCCACCTTCAATTTTCAATTTATTTCAATAAACCATACTTATTTGGCCACTAATTTTTATACTTAACTTTAATTTTTTATAGATAATTTTTGAAGAAAAATTTGATGTAATTTTTTATAGATATTTTTTTATGTAATTTTTAATTTTTTATAGATACTTTTTTATTGTTAATTTGTTATTATTAATTTCGAGACCACTTCAAATATAACCGTATTTTAAAATTATGGGTGACATAAGTTAGAATGGGCCAAACTTCATAATCAGATGAGAAAGTCTTTATGGTGGCTTTTTGCAAGAGAAAATGAAAATCGATTCATTCATTTGTCTACACTACCAACCCCATAATACACTTAATTAAGAGATAATTAGCTTCATGCAGTACTAGTGTTCTCCGCAAGTATGACTTAAATCAAAGAATAAAAGAAAAAAAAAAGCAACTATCCCGTCGCATGTGATTGTTGCATTTGAATGCTTTCAGTTTACAAAGAACAGGAAGAAGGCTAAGGATGGCTATTTTGTGGCCAAACTTGACATGGCCAAGGCCTATGATCGAGTTGAGTGGTTTTTCCTTGAAAAGGTTATGAGGAAGCTCGGATTTGAAGAGAGGTGGGTTAATCTTATCATGCAGTGTGTCTCATCAGTATCCTATTTCGTCCTTGTGAATGGACATAAGTCTGAATGCTTTTCACCCTCTAGAGGTTTGCGCCAAGGTGATCCCTTTTCACCTTATTCATTTCTCCAATGTGCTGAAGGGTTATCTGCTATAATTAAAAAAGCTGAGAGGGAGGAAAAGCTTAATGGAATTCAAATCCGCAATAAAGCTCCTACAGTTTCTCACCTACTTTTTGCATATGATAGTGTGGTTTTTGGGAAAGCTGTGCTTCGTGAATGTGATAAACTTAAAGAAATTCTGAGCTTCTACGAGAAGGAATTTGGTCAACTTATTAACTTCAACAAGTCTGACATCACTTTTAGCAGCAATGTGAGAATAAGTCGAAGATTGGAGATCTGTGGGACTTTGGGAATTAAGGAGGTGGCTAAACACCCTAAGTATCTTGGGCTCCCTACTGTTGTTGGAAGATCAAAGAAGGTTATGTTTGAGGAGATCAAGGAAAGAGTTCGTAAGAAGCTAAAAGATTGGAAAAGTAGCGTTATGTCTCAAGCAGAGAAAGAGGTGATGATCAAGGTTGTGGCTCAAGCTCAATTTCTCTATCCTATGACTATATTCCTTATCCCAGAAGGTACTCTTAATGAAATTTAGAGAATGATTTCTAACTTTTGGTGGGGGCAAAAGAGAAAGGAAACTAAGCTTCGCTGGCTGAATTGGGAAGATCTTTGTGATGAAAAAGAGAATGGAGGAATGGATTTCAGAGATCTGAGGGCTTTCAATCTGGCCATGCTCGGAAAACAAGTGTGGAATGTTCTTTCCAGGCCCAACTCTTTGATGGCAAGAACCCTTAAAGCTAGATATTTTCCAAAAACTTATATACTCAATGCCAAAATTGGGTACAAGCCTAGTTTTATCTGGAGAAACATTATGGCAGCGAAAGAGAAGATTTTGGGTGGCTTCAGGTGGAGAGTTAGAAATGGGGAATCTATCAGAATTCGGGATGACGCTTGGAATCCGAGAAAGAGCTACTTTTTTGATGATCCACATTCGTCTGATATGGATTCTGAGGAGCTGGTGTCATCTCTCATTGATAAAGCGAGGAGAACTTAGGATGATGGAAAGCTTAAAGAGCTATTCTAAAAGCTTGACTACGACCTTATATAAAAAATCCCTCTTCGTCTTCCTCTAAATAGGGATGAAAGGGTCTGGGTTGATACCGATGAAGGGACATACTCGGTTAAATCAGCGTATGGTAGAATTCGATAAGATCAGGGCAACAATTCATCTCATCTATATCATCTTCTGGATGATGAGCCTGAGTTCTGGAAAGCACTATGGAAGACCCCTATACCACCAAAAGTTCGCATCTTTCTTGGAGAGCAGGTAGGAATATCTTACCGGTTGGATGCCACATCGAAGAATGGATTGATGAAGCCTGCACGGACTGTCCGTTTTGTGGTCTCCTAGAAACTCAAATCCATGCCCTCTGTGAATGCAGTTGGATCAGGCAAAGATGACAGTCATGGGAAGAAAAGAAGCTCTTTGAGATCGGAGAAGGGAAAACTTGTATTGATTGGTTCAAGGAGATATGGAAAAGCTCAACTATGGAGTAGATTCAGAAATTCAGTGTGGTAATTTGGTACCTGTGGAAGAAGAGATGTAACCATCTGAATAATAACCTCAAGACTAATGAAGATCATATTATCCCAAAAGCTTTGGGTTGGCTGCAATCCTTCATTAAAGCCCAGACTCCCCAGCCCCCGAACGAAGCTGCATGTCCGAGCAACAGATCTGAGGGCTGGCGCCCCCTCCCGAAGGTTTTTTCAAGATGAACTCTGATGCGGAAGTGTTTAAAAAGATGGGGGTGGGATTTGGATGCTTTATTAGAGATTGGAGGGGAATTTTTTGCGGCGCTACTGCGAAGAAGGAGAGGGGTGTTTGTAGACCTATCGAAGCTGAGGCAAAAGCGATTTTGATGGGGATTCGAGAGGTAAACCGAAGAGAAATCAGCCCGTTGATTGTTGAATATGATTGCCAAAGATTAATCTGCAAATTTGCAAAGAATGAGAGAGATGCTACGGAGCTGGGAGTCTGGTGTGATGAGATAAGGAAGTTGGTTGTGATCAATGAGTCCTTCTCTGGACTGTTGACGATCTGGAGTTTCACCCCGAGAAAGAACAACAACCCAGCTCACTGGCTGGCTCATTCAGGTTTCTTGTTGGGATAGACAGTTTGTTTGGGTTGATAACCCACCATTGTCGCTACTATATGTTCTTGAGGCTGATTTGGGCCAAACCCGTTTGGGCCATGTCTTAACTTGATGAACGAATGAAGGGCTCACATGTTACTATCAAAAAATTCATTTACTCAAATTTGGCAATTATTTTTTTTGTGGGTTGGAGCTTGAAAGAGTCAAATTTGACTTTTTATCATTTTAAGCCCACATTTAAGGCCCTTCGAATTTTGAGCCAAAAATAATTTCACATCTATGGGCTTCACGGATTTTGAGCCAAAAATAATTTCACTTTAATTAATAAACATGAATCTAAGGCATAATCCATTGAGACAAAATCACTCATAAAAATCCTATAAGCCAACAACCTCTTAGCTCCTTGGGTTGGAACGGGCTTAATACTGTCCGGCGTCCAGTTCCACCCTTAAAAAGCCCCACAAAAGGGAAGCCCATAAGCTCACAATTGAGAAGGAACTTCTAAATATGGCCCAACTCAAGTATAACGACAGAACTTTCTTCCTCCTCTCTGAACTTCAGCGGAAGGCACCTTTCTCTGTTACGAAATCAAACCTGCGACAACACACACCGCACACGCACGCAGAAACGAGACCGTAGCGCGGCAACCTCCGTCGTCGAGAAAAGCTCAATTCCTGCGTGATAACAAGTTTAAGGTCGACATGTACAGAAGTACAGCTTCCCGCCTCAGAGCTCTCAAGGTTAGTTCATTAGGTACAGACAATGAATGAAATAGAGAAAAAATTGCCCTAAGTTTCTTGTTTGAGAGCATTGACTGATTTGATTATTTAGGGGGAAAAGTTTTGATCTTTGAGGGATTGAATGAATGTGGCAGGACTTTTCAATGCGTTAAATCGGAAGGATTCGCCTTAGATCCGTCTTTCTATTCCCTTTTGTGGGTTTTGATTGCCCTTCCTGTTCTTGGCCATTTCATGGTTTATGTATATTTTCGTTGTTTCTTTTAGGCAAAAAGGGTATGAGTGTGTTTATATCGCATAGTTTGTTTTTTGGGTCATAAGAAAGGTGGAAAGTTTTGTCTACGCTTACTGAGATGGATCATCTTCTGTTATATTGGATTCTATTTGTAATAAAAGAGATAATTTTTTTTAGACAGTGATGCTGGTCTTATTGTCCACCAAGATGTTTATTGCCATTGGTCTTTGAGTTGGCGTGGTTGAAGTTTCGTACCTCTGATCGGTTATATGATTGCACTAGTGATCGCCTTCTCTTCAAGCGATAGGAATCGCAGCCTATATTTTCCTTTTAGCTTTCCTGCTAAATGTTTTACTGGGCTAAATTGGTCTTTTGTCGAACTTGCATGATGAGTAGGGGCGTGTGGGGAATCTGGGTGCTACCCGATGTGCAGCCTCAAGTGCAGTTGCTTCTACAACATCATCCTCCCCAGGAATTTTCAGCTGGCTGATTGGTGAACGTGCTAGTTCTTTTCCTCCTTTGAATTCACCATTTGAAGGTGTTTCTTCTCCACCATCCCTCCCAGACTATGTTGAGCCAAGCAAGATTAAGTCGAAAACTCTTTCGAACGGTCTGACGATAGTCTCTGAGACATCTCCGGTATGCCTTTCTACGTTGCCTTCTTCCTGTGCTTCAGCTTCTTTCTTCATGTGAAAGAAAACTGATCTTTTTTCTGCTTGTTGAAATAGAGTCCTGCAGCATCGATAGGGATGTACATTGACTGCGGTTCTATCTATGAGACACCCCAATCGTGTGGAGCCACTCATTTGCTTGAAAGAATGGCATTCAAAAGCACTCGAAACAGGAGCCACTTTCGCATTGTAAGAGAAGTTGAGGCCATTGGTGGTACTGTAGCAGCCTCGGCTTCACGAGAGCAGATCGGATACACTTTTGATGCCTTGAAGACCTATATTCCTGAAATGGTAGAATTGCTCGTTGACTCCGTCAGGAACCCCGTGTTCATTGATTGGGAAGTCAATGAGGAGGTAATCTTTTCAGATTTATGCTAGTAACATTCAGATAGTCTGTTATTATCCTCTCTTGTGTGCCCCTGTCAGTTTTGTGGCTTTCTTTATTAAGCTTATGCCTGGCTTCATACAAGTGGTGGCAGTTTGATTCCACATGCTCAAACCTCTCTGTATATCTAGTGTTTTAAAGTCAAAATCAGAAGCCTTGTGAATATATATAGTATTTTCTCAAAACTATTGAAGAACATTGTCAGATTATCTTATCATTGGTGGCTCCTCCTAGGAAGGGCCTTAGTCCAGTATGAATAAAAGAATTGTCAAGAAATTTAAATGGAAGTTACAACTCGCTTACATTCATTGATGTACATCAAGAAGTGCTTAACTTGTGGTTCTTTGCTACTACCATGCCAGAAACAAGAAGTCATTGTCTACTTGCTTAAGTGCTATCTCCTGAATATGCAGGCAAACTAACCACAAGTTATTAAAATAAAATAAAAAATTGTATCTTTGCTGATTAAAGCCATGTATATATTACAGCTGAAAAGGGTGAAGGATGAGCTCAGTCAAATCTCTAACAATCCCCAAGGGTTACTCTTGGAGGCTATTCATTCTGCCGCTTATACTGGTGCCTTGGCAAATCCTCTTTTAGCTCCAGAAGCAGCATTGAGCAGACTGAACGGTGACATTTTGGAGGAATTTGTAGCTGTATGAGCACCAATCTTTGTATGCTTTGTGACCATTGCTTCTATATATCATTTTGCTGAAGTGTTTTGTTATTTCAAATGTCAGGAGAATTATACAGCTCCTAGAATGATCCTTGCAGCATCAGGGGTTGAATTCGAGGAGCTTTTGTCTGTTGCCGAACCACTTCTCTCTGACCTTCCACTTGTCCAACATCCGGAAGCACCAAAGTCCGTATATGTTGGGGGGGATTATCGTCGCCAGGCAGATTTACCGGTGCATGTTGATTCTTCTCAGTTTTGTCTTTTCCTAGACATCTATTGATCTTCTGATACGGTACTTACACAGACGACTGTTCATGTCTCAGGTAACACATGTTGCTCTTGCCTTTGAAGTTCCTGGAGGCTGGCATAATGAAAAGGAAGCGATAACCCTAACTGTACTCCAGGTGCTTCTTATTGCCTGTCACCCTGAAACGTCTTTTCATCTCTGAATCCTCTTTACTCTTTTATTTTAATTTTTCTTTCTTGGGGGTCTTGGTCTTGACACTTTTGTGTTGGCAATACAAAAGTTGATAAAAAATGCTACGATTGCAGATAGAGGTGGCAATTTCAATCCAATCCATTAATCCATTAAAAATATCCACCTAATCCAATCCATTTAAATCCAATCCATTTGATCCAAATCCAATTGGATTGGTGGATTCATGGATTGGATCCATGGATCATTGGCAAATTACGGTTTAGTACCTATAATTTTTAATTTTTACATTTTGGTACCTAAAATTTAATTTTTTATACGAAAAATATCATTGGAAAATTACGTTTTGGTACCTAAAATTTTTCATTGTGGCATTTTAGTACCTAAACTTTTTACATTTTACATATTGGTCCTTGGTTGAGGATGTCATTTGGATTCATGGATAATCCACCAATCCACTTGATCCAATCCATGAATCCACCAATCCATTAGATCCAATCCATTTGATCCATGGATCCACCAATCCAATCCACCAATCCAATCCATTTGCCACCTCTAATTGCAGATGCTTATGGGAGGAGGTGGCTCGTTCTCTGCAGGGGGACCAGGAAAAGGGATGCACTCACGCTTGTGTAAGCAGTATATGGAATTCTAAAGTTTGCTTATTTAGCAAAATGCTTTGCTTTCTAACCTGGGTTATATTTGTAAACTTTAGATCTCCGTGTACTGAATAACTATCAACAGCTCCAGTCCTTTTCTGCATTCAACAGTATCTTCAACCACACGGGATTGTTTGGCATTTATGCAACCACTGTAAGTCCAAAATGTCCGTTGTGGGGTTAGTTTGTTATTTGAGCGTTGGTACGGAAGTATGTGTATCATGAACTTGTTCTGTTATTTTATGCAGACTTCTGACTTTGTGGCGAAGGCTGTTGATGTAGCGGCAGGGGAGTTAATCTCTATTGCAACTCCTAAACAAGGTATCCTAATCAGTTACATTTCTATTTGTTGTTGCTGAGGTAAGTCTTCGTACCATTCCTAATCTCATCTGTCACTGATAGCAGTTTGTGAGACACAGTTGAACCGTGCTAAAGAGGCCACAAAATCTGCAGTTCTCATGAATCTCGAGTCTAGAGTAGGCCTCTCTCTCTCTCTCTGTAATATATTCTGAATTCCAATGCTTGATCTATTAGCAGTAGATTGAATTTTTGTGATGGTGGCAGATGATTGTAGCCGAAGATATTGGCAGGCAGTATCTGACTTATGGTGAAAGGTAGTAAATATCTCTCGAGGTCATTCAATGGTTTCTTCTCTTTGTTCATCAAAAAGTGATCCTCGGAACATTGATTTGTTTTAATCTGGGAATCCATGCAGAAAGCCAGTGGATCAATTCTTGAAGGCAGTGGATGAGATCACGTTGAAGGACATAACTGACATTTCACAGAAGTTGATCGCTTCACCTCTAACAATGGCATCTTATGGGGATGGTAATCTCTACCTTCTAACCCATTATTATTACTATTAGCTCCTCCCCTTTCATCTGTGGTTCTCTTATATGTGAACATATATGTTAATCACCTATTTCTGTTCCCCGCCTCCCTCTTCTGGCAGTCATAAACGTCCCTAGCTACGAGTCGGTGAAGGCAGTTTTCCATGCGAAATGAGAGGCAGCTCTACCTAGTGTGGCGTTTCAACATTTCCAGATTGAGTTTCAGATTGAGTCGCAATAAAGACTAATATGATGGAGAAGAAGATCGATCCTGGAGGCTTTTCTCCCTTGTTTGATCAATGGGAAGTTTTGTATCTTTAATTTGGCAAAATACACCCGTATAGCCATAACTTTCACGTTTGTGACAAAAATAGCCATAATTATTCGAAAACCAAAAATAGCCCAAAAAACTTAGGGTAGTGTGACAAATCTAGCTAAATCCGTTAGTAACTTTAACGGTGTTAGAAACTCCGTCAGTTAGATTAACATTAGGCTGACTAGGATGCCAAATCGTCGGACACGTCAGCGACCAGTAATCAAATCATTGCCATGTCATTTTGAATAATAAAATTAATTAATTATAAAATTAAAAATAAATAATATTTTAATTTTCCCCTCCCCTGCCCCCTAGTTGCCCATGAAATTGATTCAGCTTCTTCGCCGTCTCTGTCTCCCTCTTCCAATCAAAGAAAGCAACAACGATTCCGAAACGGTGGAACTGAGGAATGCAGCAAGACCACGAGTGTTGCCCTGCAGAAGAGAGGTTTCTGCCTCGTCAATCTTAAACTATCGATTCACCCGTCAATTTCCTTCATAAGGGAATCAAGAGCAAATGGCAACCGGTGGTGACAGGCGGTAACCAGGTGGCAGGGATGGGTGTGGAGGTTTCCTTGCTTCCTTTCTCTTCTTTTTTCCGCCGACCTTTTTTTTCCCTTCTACGTGAAAAACGAGAAGCAACGTCGGTTGCCGGCGGGCCCAGAGATTCAGGAGGCAACGGCAAGCGGGAAAGGGACGGCGAGCAGAGATGGAGGCGGTGGATCTGCTGCTCTTTCCTGAATCAATTTCAGCACCTCGAGTCCTTCCGAACCCGCCTTGTACTGACTCCCACCATGGATTATTAAAGAATCAAAGGATGCAGTGGTGAAAACGGGATTGAGGAGTTTTCTAGATCTGGAGATTTGGGATTTTGGTTTTGAATGTTGGATTTGGGAATGGAGATCGTCGTGTGTCGGCGGTGTGGATTGAGAAGGTGGGGATTTGGAATTGAGAAGAGAGGGGAGGCCACGACGGTGTGGACTGTGGATTGAGAAGGTGGGGATCTGGAATTGAGAAGAGAGGGGAGGCATTATTCGCAGTGGAAGAGGAAAGGAGAGAGGGGAGAGAAAATAAAAAAATTTAATTAATTTCTTTTTGTTTTTGTTTCAAGTTAATTCCACCTATTGACAAAATGTTGCCAACTCAGCATTTTCCGTTAGTCCAGTCATACCGTTATATAACACCGTTAAAAGGATGGACGGAATTGGCTATTTTTGGTTTTCGAATAGTTATGGCTATATTTGTCACAAACGTGAAATTTATGGCTGTACAAGTGTATTTTGCCCTTTAATTTTGAGGCATTCTTCGATAGATGGGTCAACTTTTTCTTGGTTCCACTTCCATTTTTGTGCCACCTCCCAAATTCTCTACTTTTGCTGTTGGAGTTAAGGTGAGCGACCATGGGAGAATGGGTGTATCCCGAGGTTCTTTGACAGCGAGTGAAGGAAGTAATAGAGGAATTTGGATATGTTCCGCAACTTAATATTTAGAGGATGGTCTTCCATCTCCCATCCAATGGTTCATAAAAATGGCTCATTAAATTAATGGTTCATATCTGTTGGGAAAAAGTGGTAGTGGATTGTGAGGTCTACAATCTGAAAAGCAGCTGACAATTGGAATTGGGGTCGGTAGACACGGTTGGGTAGCCCCGTGGATTGATTGAGGTGGCTGAAGGAGAAGATGTCATCGACGGGGATGGTGTTGGTTGGGAGCTTCCGTTCGAGGATTCTGCGAGGTCGTGGTTGAATCAGCTTGGGACGGCAGAAGAGGTTGTAAGCTAGCTTGAAGTTTGGGATTAGAACCCAGGTGCGGAACCACCCTCTGCCTAGAAAACAAAACAAAAGGCTTGAATCAACAAAACAAACAAGACAAAAAAAAAAAAAAAAAAAACAAGGAAGAGATCGTTTCTTCTTCTTATGGTTCTTGTTCTTGCTAAGAGAGAGAGAGATGAGGGAGGGGAGGGTGAGAGTGAGACCACTCCTCCTAATTTTTAATTTTTTAAAATTACCATGTCGTTAACTTAATGGTTCAGTAAACAATTTCGTTTGCAACATCATCAAAAAAACTAATGGAGTTAACAGAGTTTGACGGAGGGTAACGGCCGGCCGGGTGATTAACGGTGAAACGAATCGTAAAGTTAGTGGTTAATATGAAAGAAAAGTAATTTGGATGACAAACGTGAAAGATTTATGTAATTTGAGTGACCAAACGTGTAATTTAGACGTAAAAAAACCAAACAATGTCAAGTACATTACATCATTTTTCTTAATTATTACATGTATATTACAATGCATGCATGCATTAATTAGCTATCTCTTACACAGAAGTTGGACGGTCGAAATTGAATGGGAGAAGTGGAGAGAATGGAAGAAACATCCACATGTGGCGTGGGCACAAGAGCAGGGTAGTCCAGTTTTGTTGCTTGTTTAGTTATTGGAGTGATGGGTCACTGTCAGGCTGAGGTCGCTAAAAACATTAGTGTTGGCATGAGTAGCCAATTATGTAACCTCCACAGTGGAAACCAACAAAATAGCGATACGAGGGGAGTTTTGGTTTTTAGTTAAAGTTTGGCTCCTGGAGGAGGAGTTCCTCATGCCTTGGGACACCCTTCATTTTAATTTTAAACATCCCTCTCCATGAGCGATTAAAAATTTAAAATATCTGTTTATTGAGAGCAACTTTTTTGGAATTCATCATCTTATGTTAAATAAATAAATTTGTATCACCAAAAAAAAAAAAAACCAAAAATTTGTGCCAATGAGGGCTTGGAGTTGGAATCCAACTGAATATAGTCATATACTAATTCCCATATCCCACCCCTATTTTGGCTGTATGCATGTCCGAATATTAGTCCTTGCAATTCATCAATTTGGGAGCTGATCCGAGTAACGATGAGTAACCCAACCATGATTATATCATCATTTTTTTTTTCCTTAAAAGTCTAATCTTTTTCTCCCTAAATTTTAACGAAAAATTTCTCTCTCATTTTAAGTCGGAATTAAAAAAAATTCACAAATAAATCAGATTAATTGTGCTCTTCAAAACTATATCCACTTTGTTATATTTTTTAAACAAAGAAAAATTGAGGCATTTTTTACCAATCTATATCATGATGATATTGATTGGTAATAAGAGCATACCATATGGTATGAACAGCTACCATAGTAGTATGAACATACCAAAACTGTAGGATGATTGAATACATGATAGTAAGAGTATACTAACTGTCATGTATGACTTTCAACATTCTGTACCACAAGATACCACCCCCATTTCAGGGTGGTATTGTGTGGTATTTTTCGATCCTCTATTTTTTCACCCTGAAATTTTTAGATCCAATAAATCATGACAAACTCGTTCCTTCTGTGCAAAAATATTCAAAAATGACTTAAAAACGAAGGAGATACCATATGGTATGGAGTTGGTAACGAGAGGTATGAATTATTTTCCTCAAAAGATATTGAAAAATGGATCTCATTTTGTAGAGCACAACAAACTTGTTTCATCTGTGCAAAAAAATTGAAATCCGAGTTAGAACGAAGAAGATAAAAGTCGATTAAGAAAACTAAGAAAATTAAATGTCTTTAATTCTCAATCCTTATATTTGAATTTTCTAGGTTCACTAAAAAGAGAAAGTCCAGATTTAGTTATGCACCCTAATATGAGCTCATGAATTATGCGAGGAACAAAATGGATAATAATATTTATTATAATTTGGGACCAGGAATGGCAAGGAACAAGTCCGTACGATTATCTTGATACCCATACTTGATCTGTGGCAGGTCATGTTCAGGTTGGATAATTTATGATGGGGTACAAGTCGGGGTAGGTCGACCCAATAAGTATGTAATTTATATGGAAAACATTAGAAATATTGGTTATTTTCATTAAACGACCAAGAAATAAACCATAATATGATAAACATAGTTAAATAATTGGAGAAATTGAGGTTTTCACTTATTTACAACCTTATGATAGATGAAATTTGAGGTAACTAATGAAAAATTATAAGTAATTTGGCTAAAATTATATGTAATTTAGATAATAACGGATTGAAAATGAGACGGTCATAACAGGTCGGATCGATAAGAGTACCCATGTCCATCCCGTCCCTGGTAAACAAGTTGGGTAAAATAGTTCAAATCGGAATTGACAAATTGCCATCCACTCACAACATGCATTTAGGACAATTTTATGAATACTCTGCAAAAGTAAAAGCCGTGATTGATCACCAAGCTAATTTTTTCACTCATACTTAAATAAAAAATCAAGGGACGATAAATTACCAATTAATGATTTTGATCCAAGGGCTTTCTTTTATTTATTTATTTTTGGAATACAATCGAAGTGCTTTCTAAACCCAATTCATGATATCTAGCTCGTCTCTATGATTTGTTAGTAATTAGTATTCAGATATATATATTTTGAAATGTTAGTATCCAGATATTTTTTTTATTATTATCTTTTTTTTAGAATCCATATATTTTAGAATCCATTACTAGAGTGAGAAATTCTCGCTTTTTTTTACTAAACGAGGGAGTTGACCTTCACGCGACACGTGTGCAAAGCAAGAAAATCATTCAATAAGTGATGGAGTACACATTGCGACACACACACATCATCATATCCTATCATTACCTCCCTCACTGCTCCCGAACACATATACTATACATACAGACAAACCAAACTAATAACAAACTACCAGACTCGAAATTAAAAAAATAATAATAAAATAAAAATTAGTCGGAGAGCAAAAGGAAAGGCAAAGCGGAAGCGAAACACTCCCTTCCCCTCCCAAGCCAAGAGAAGAGCCCAATCCTTGAAGAACAAATAAACATCTTTCTCCCACCCTTTTTTCCGCTGCTTCCTCTTTCTCAGATTAGATCCCATTCTTTCTCCAACAAAATCCAAATTTCCCTCTCTGTTTCTTCCCTGCAACATTCGATCACTTTCCAAGTCATTCCATAAGCGATTTTGTTTGTTTTTGCCGTCTCTGCCTGCATCTGGTTTTCTGTCAAAATTATTTCGGGGGCCAATGGAGAAGAAGGTGGTGGTGACGGTGGTCTGCGTGGCGGCGGTGGCCGGCGCGGTGGCAGCCGGAGTGGTTCTGCGGAAGAAGATGAAGAAGGACGGAAAGTGGGGGCGGGCGATGGAGATTGTCAAGGAGCTGGAGGAGAAATGCGGGACGCCAACTGCCAAGCTCAAGCAGGTCGCCGATGCCATGGTCGTCGAGATGCATGCTGGTCTTGCATCTCAAGGTGGCAGCAAGCTCAAGATGCTTATCAGCTACGTCGACAATTTGCCCACCGGGTATCTATACAATTCCTTCCGATTTGATTTATCATATTCTCCCATTCCAATTCTCGTGCTCAATTTGAATCTCTGATCCCAATTCTCGATAGATCCGATTTGAATCTGGGAACATTCCAAGTGATCTCCGGATCCTGATTCCTGATTAGTTCAACGGTCATGGCTGAGCTTAATTGCCTGTTGCGCTCTTCCTTCCTCTGTGGAGCGGATTTAGTTGAAAGTCTGTTCATAGGAATGAAGTTAGGATTCTTACTTTCTAGCGATACGGACGGTTTCCATATGAATATTATTCCCCAAAAAAGTAGCATTGGTTCTTTTCATTTTCCGAATTGCCTTTCTGTTTCTGTGAAACCTTTTTGCTACCGTGGTGAGACCTAAAGCATTGCCTACGAATGAATTCCACGCCTGGGATTTTGATATTCTGTTTAGAAAAGGAAGAACAAGTTTGGGTTGATGTCTGTTCCTTCGTAACTGAGTTTATTTCGCGATTGTTCTCTTGTGGAAGTCATGAGTCTGGGCTGTACTATGCTTTGGATCTTGGTGGAACGAATTTCCGAGTGCTACGGGTGCATTTAGGAGGCCTAAACGGTGGAATTGTTAATCAAGAGTTTGCCGAGGTGCCAATCCCTCCTGAATTGATGACTGGGGCGGCAGATGTAAGTGCTAACCTTCAGTAGCCCACAAGTACAGTGGTGTTCATGTCCTTGTTTCAGACAGTGTTTTTTTGTGCTGTTTTCGTGTGGTAATCATTTGTTACTGGTTTCAGGCGCTCTTTGACTATATCGCGGCAGAGCTTGCGAAATTTGTTGCTCAAGAAGGTCAAGAGCACGAGCTTCCACCGGGGAGGAAGAGAGAGTTGGGGTTCACCTTCTCATTCCCTGTCAACCAAACTTCCATTGCTTCTGGGACTCTGGTTCGGTGGACAAAGGGATTTTCCATTGATGAATTGGTTAGTTTTTTTAACTAGTTCTGTTCTGTGGAGTATACACTGTTTGTCTTCCTCTCTTTGTGAGTCGTTAATCTAATGAAGTGTTATGTGGACACATCTCTGTTCCTGGTAACTAGGTTGGTCAAGATGTTGTGACAGAGTTGAGCAGAGCCATGAAGAGGCAGAACCTGGAAATGCATGTCTCTGCTCTGGTAATTCTTCTTTTATCATTAAAAATGCTTTCTTGATCGCATCTTTTGCAAGTCATGCATTTTTTGTCAACATGAGCCCTGCATTATCAATCATTCTGTCAAAAATAGAAAGACGAATTGTGAGATGTGAATTATACCATTGGAGAATCAAAACGCTGTAATTGTCAGTTTAATTATTTATAGTCTTGGTTATAGGTGAATGATACAGTTGGAACTCTAGCTGGAGGCAGATACACCAACAAGGATGTTGCTGCTGCTGTTATCTTGGGCACAGGAACAAATGCTGCTTACGTGGAGCGGGCACAAGCTATACCAAAATGGCATGGTGCTCTACCTAAATCAGGCGAAATGGTATAACTTGGCGTTTTTCTGAGCAAGTTATATCATAGATTTACAATAATAAGTTCATGAATCTTACTGTTGAAATGTATAGGTTATCAATATGGAATGGGGCAATTTTAAGTCATCTCATCTTCCTTTAACTGAATTTGATAATTCACTGGATGGTGACAGCTTGAACCCTGGTGAACAGGTAATTCGAAACTATATATATTATTCTTTTTTCTTCGCGAGCATTATGGTCTGGGAGTTATGTAATTAATTTGTGTTTTGCAGATTTTTGAGAAGTTAATTTCCGGTATGTACTTGGGGGAAATCGTACGCCGTGCGCTCTTAAAGATGGCTGAAGAAGCTTCCTTTTTTGGTGAAACTGTGCCATCTAAACTCAAAGTTCCCTTTATACTGAGGTAAGTATTGGTTAACTGGTATATCTAACTTTCTAATTTCGCATGTTCATGCCATCAAGTCTTGAAGTTTGTCATCTACCAGGCGACCTTGAAGTGCTTTATGGTCCTAGGTTATGATATTTATTATAATAACGTAGTCATCATATTTAGTTTAGTAACTACCCACTGTCAATAATTTCACATTATGCAGAACGCCTGACATGTCAGCAATGCACCACGACACTTCCTCGGATCTTAAAGTTGTAGCTAGTAAATTGAAAGACATTCTAGAGGTATCTTCTGCTACCTGGGCACTTTGACTACAACTAAAAACGTGCATTTTACTTGCAGAAAATATATATGGTGGATGCTTTTTTATTCATGTTCTGTTGTGTTTCAGATAACGAGCACGTCGCTGAAAACAAGGAAGGTGATTGTTGAAGTGTGCAACATCATCGCCACACGTGGTTCCCGGCTCGCTGCTGCTGGGGTCGTAGCTATCCTGAGGAAGATGGGGAAGGACGTAGCCAAAGAAGGCGAAGTGCAGCAGAAGACTGTGATCGCCATGGATGGTGGATTGTACGAGCACTACAACGAGTACAGCAAGTGCTTGGAGAACACCCTCACAGAGTTGCTTGGGGAGGAAGTTTCCAAAACCGTAGAGGTCATTCATGCCAACGATGGTTCAGGGATTGGTGCTGCCCTTCTCGCCGCCTCACATTCTCAGTACCTTTGAGCGCCGGCATAACTAATCGCCGTCGCCTCCTTACTTCCTCTCCTCCTTTACTGCAGAAGCCTTCCATTGATTCGACCCGTTGGAATCTGTGGAAGAATCCTTTTTTTGTTCTTTTACCTTTTACTTGGTTGGTTTTAGCCTTAGGAGATTGGTTATACTGTGAATATTTTTTTTACAGCAAAGCCTTGGGGGTAGCTGAGGAGCGCTCAATTCTTCCGCTTTTCGGGCGGCTACTGCTGCTGCATTATTACCCTCTGGTAATAATTCCTGCTTTGATTCGAATTCGCCAATTTGCTTTTGGCGAGAATAAGAAAGAGAGAACACAGAGGCTTAATTAAGTTTGAATAATAATATTTGATTTTGCAAAAATTGTTTATGTTTTGGCTTATATCTCATCACATCTCCATTTATCGGGGCTAAATTACAGGTGTTCACCCAAATAATATAAATATTTCACATTTGTCTTTTTTTTTTAATTCAACAAAAAAAATATCTTTTTTATTCGTCACTAATTTACGCCAGATGGTCAATAGTCGCTATGGATGTGCGAGACCTCACACCCGAAACCACCGCCCATCACCTCATGGAAGACACCGCTAATATGGAACTGAAATGAGCATTGGCAAAAAGACCAGTCACGCTCTTGACGGAGCTAGAAATCAAAATCAATAAAGCCATCACCCTAGAGAAAACCTTCATTGCGGGATCTGTATGACGCTTCGAGCCGTCAAGACCAATCAGAGAGGAACAGACGCGGAGACAACTCCCGATACTACTCGAACAACTTGCACAACGCCACAACGGGGCAAGTCGGCCACTCGCCCCGCCGGAGCAAGCAACGCGTAGACGCTCGACAGACATGTGTCCGTCAAACACCTTCACACCCCTCAATGATACAGTCAAGAATGTGTTTCACCTCATTCGCAAAAAAGGCTACTGTCTCAATTGGTCCACGCCAGTAAGAGCCGCACCTCATATGCGTGACCACAGGAAACATTGTGACTTCCAGAGAGAAACAGGTCACCTGACGGAAGATTGCGTGAACCTTCGAGTTGAAATCGAAGCGCTTATCCGAAGAGGGTTCTTGTTCGAATGTGTCCGCGGAGCGGAAGAACAGAAGGAACAAGATGCAATACCACCCCTACCCCCACAACCAGACTACAACGAAATTACCGGTTCATACATAGTACGAAAAGAAATATGCGTTGTAACGATCGAGGGAGATCGGCCAAAGAAAAAGACAAAGCGCGACCGAGCAATGGAGTGCGCGACAACTGGTGCGCAACCAAAGTGTAACATGAGTTTTGACGACGCAGAATTCCCACAGGGAACACCATCAAAAGATCCCCTTACCATCACCGCTTTGATAGTTGTGTGCAAAATCTATCGCATGTGGGTAGATGGAGGCAGCGCCGCGAACATCATGTTCAAAAGCACCTTGGATCAGATGGACATCGACCCGCGCATGATCAAACACGCACAGGGAAAATTAGTGGATTTTTCAGGAACACGAGTGGCGGTAATAGAAGCAATAACGCTACATGTCGTGATTGGAGACCAGGAACCACGATGTTTGTGGCCTCCAGGATCAGAGGATCCAAGCCTTACAACTAGCAAGTTAGAGGGAGAGAGTAAACAGACAATTTTTATGGCCAAACTCTATCTGTCTTATTTCATTGCAAACTTATGCTCTTATAGAGTTGAGAGGAGATACAAAGACGTCATTGCTTGCGTTTGTGAGACAGAGACGTAAAGCTAACACGTCAAAAAAGAAAGCACATGAAACGATACAAAAGCTTGTAAAATACAATAGTGCAAGACTTTTTTAAAGGAGTCAGTCAACCTTTTCTTGTAGTTTTATCCTATGTTTTTTATTCATTTCTCTTTCTTCACATGCATCTCTCAGTCTTGGTCTGTAAGTCCATTGATGTCTTCGTCATTTGATGCACACCAATCATAGAAGTGGTCCTCATAGATGCTAAGTGCATTGCACAGCTGTTTCTTGATTTGGATGGGAAGAGCTGACCGACTTACACTAATTTCAGTGAATTCTTTAATTTTTTCTATTATGACAGTCCAATCTTTTTTGGTCATGTTTCCTCTGGTTTTGCTGGTGATGATGGCACCGGGGCTACTGTAATTGACTTTGATATGACTTTCGGGTTCAATCTTGGTTAATGTCCTACATACTGCTCAGAAGACCCTTTACTTGGTGGTCTTCTTCTCATAATCTCGAAGGTAATCTCTAGTAGGATAATCATGATTTGATGCTCCCATAAAGGGTTTTCTGAGCAGTATGTAGGACATTAACCAAGACTGAACCAGAAAGTCATATCAAAGTCAATTACATAGCCTCGGTGCCATCATCACCAGCAAAACCAGAGGAAACATGACTAAAAAAGATTGGACAGTCATAATAGAAAAAATTAAAGAATTCACTGAAATTAGTGTAAGTCGGTCAGCTCTTCCCATCCAAATCAAGAAACAGCTGTGCAATGCACTTAGCATCTATGAGGACCACTTCTATGATTGGTGTGCATCAAATGACGAAGACATCAATGGACTTACAGACCAAGACTGAGAGATGCATGTGAAGAAAGAAAAATGAATAAAAAAACATAGGATAAAACGACAAGAAAAGGTTGACTGACTCCTTTAAAAAAGTCTTGCACTATTGTATTTTACAAGCTTTTGTATCGTTTCATGTGCTTTCTTTTGACGTGTTAGCTTTACGTCTCTGTCTCACAAACGTAAGCAATGACGTCTTTGTATCTCCTCTCAACTCTATAAGAGCATAAGTTTATGTGAGCAATGACGTCTTTGTATCTCCTCTCAACTCTATAAGAGCATAAGTTTGCAATGAAATAAGGCAGATAGAGTTTGGCCATAAAAATTGTCTGTTTACTCTCTCCCTCTAACTTGCTAGTTGTAAGGCTTGGATCCTCTGATCCTGGAGGCCACAAACATCGTGGTTCCTGGTCTCCAATCACGACATGTAGCGATTGGAACTCTAACTTGCAATCTCACCTGTTGTCGGACGTGTGCATGCATGCCGAGTACGACGTCGCACCTGGCTGTGTGTGTTTTAGTTTGTTTGAGTAGTGATTGGTTATTGTCCTTGGGTATGTGGTGTTTAGTAATACACCCTTTTGGTTCGTGTAACCATAGGAGCAAGTAAATTGGGGTCTTACACACATATATATGTCTTCCTGTAACAGCCGAGCTGCTGTGTATGTCAAGTATCAGAAAACCTAATAAAAGAAGTGAGAGCTCCTTGTGCGAGCTCTCCGTGGATTAGTCTCGTTCTCACGAACGAGGATACCACGTAAATCGGTGTCTTGTACTTAGCTTTTGCTCGTTTTTATCATGGTATCAGAGCCTTCTGTGACCGAGAGGTCTTGTGTTCGATTCCCGGTGACCCCCATTTGTTAAGCACATGGTATTCTTGTCTTCAGACCTGTGCAAACTTCAAGCCCTTGTGAGTGACTTTTGTGAGGGGGCGTGTTAGTGTTGTGGTATATGATCCACGATTGAACCTCTCCCAACAACTCGTGTTATTGGGAACAACTTGTTCTTGACATGGTATCAGAGCCTTCTATGACCGAGAGGTCTTGTGTTCGATTCCCAGTGACCCCCATTTGTTAAGCACATGGTATTCTTGTCTTCAGACCTGTGCAAACTTCAAGCCCTTGTGAGTGGCTTTCGTTTGAGTGGGCGTGTTAGTGTTGTGGTATATGATCCACGATTGAACCTCTCCCAACAACTCGAGTTATTGGGATCAACTGGTCCATGACAAAACCCGTGACCAGATTTACCAAGCGATCAACCGCCTGCTTTGGTGTGTTGCGACCATTGGACTATCGCACGCTTCGCTGTGTTTGGAGGATCGCTAATGTCAAGCCTTTCTATGTTCCCATGTATTAAGTAAGTTAACATTATTGGATATGATAAATCTTGTCTAGTCAATAATTCTATTAATTAATTAAATACTTGTATGACTTTCTAAAGGAGAAGAGCTAGTCGGGGAATCATCGAAAGGCAAGGGAATACATGATTAACGATAATATCGTGAGTAAATTCTAACCTAATATTTATCTTAATACGATTATGGTATTCAAGCCATGAAACGACCTGAGTACAAGATATATGATGGCTTGGTAAGACTTAACCAATTGTCATTGAATGTTGATATGTGGCATGGTTACATGATTGAATGATGATGAAATGATTGGATGAAATTACTATATCATGATAATTGTACAATAATGTGATAATATTGATGAAATTGGTGTATGATGGTATGACCAGAAGGTCATAGTACATGTTCTATGTTTGCTAATTGGTATTATGTGATGAGTATATGAAATGCGAAATGGTATTCAAGGCTGTCAAGTGAAAAGAATTGCAAGAAAGGTTTCCTAGCTATTATAAATTGTACGAGATGAGATAAAATGGCCTATGAGCCATACAAGTAAATGTGATATGAACTTGCCCTTCGGCACACCAATGATATATATATGTTGAGTTGTGACTAACTATAAGGATTGCATGGACCCTAAATTAAACCTAATGGCGCCCTATCATGTACTCATTATAAGTGACAAGAGATTTCAAACCTAAGAGATAAAAGTGTTATACGAGAACTCCTTTTAAGGAGCAATGCCAGGCCTGGCTACAAGTTTATGTGATATGGCACCCTGTGACACACGAGTTTACGAGTTCATGAGATATGACACTTTTTACCCATGAGTTCACGAGTTTATAAGATCTGGTACTTTGTGCCTACGAGATTACAAATTCACGAGATCCTGAGGAATGCATGACTTGGCAAATTTAATAATAAAAGCTACTGAATCCAACTAAATGTATGTATGTGTGTGATTGTATGCAACGTCGATACTTGAATGTCAATCGTAGTGTTTGCTATATTTATGTGATATTTTATTAAGATGGCAATCTTCGTATTTGCCATATTTGATGATAGAATGTGAACCGTTACATGGAATATGTGAAGGCTGATGTGTTTATGTCATATCAAGTGATATGAGATATATTTTGTGATGATCTCCTATGACAAGTAATACAATGATTGATTAAGTAACTGTTTTATAAGTAGTGATGATATGTTCATATAATTATGATACTGCCATGGAGTGTAAATGGGTATAATGCCTTTTTCTATTATACATCCTACGATGCCGTGTTGATGGAAGTAAAAAGATATGATGGGAAATTTTCATATGATATATAAGAACGAATACAAACTATTTTCAACGCTAGGTATTGTAAAGTAAAGGTGAAACCCTAAACGAATGAGGTATGACATATATGTAAAGACTTGAATGAATGGCTCATATTGTATATGTGAAAGATTGAGTGAAATTCCTCATAAATCTATAGGAGTGAGATCAAGGTAAAGTTATTAAGCGATTAAATATACA